GTGTCGGAGCGGTCGTCGGAGGGCGTCGTATAAGCTACTATGCAAGAAGATGACCGCGGATCAGCAAACTCTATCAAAGATACCTGTACCTCGGGCTGCTACGCCGACTGCTGGCATGGCTGGATGTCGAGAGTGGCGGGTCGAGCTGCCCGCAAAGTCGCGCGAATCTGGGCCTCGCAGTGCTGCGTCATAGATATAGTACGCTAAAACAGAGACGTGTGTCTTACGTGGGTGCGTTCGCGCACTTGTTGCTTGAGGCGCTGGAGCTCGGACGACCGCAGCCGGCTGCTCTTGGTACTCTTCATCCGAGGCCACGATTGTGGCCATCTTGGGACAGGCATCTATTTTTAGATTTAGAGTGGCGTCGATTTAGTTGGTATTTAGTTGGTTGATGGACTGGATGGGCCACTTGCAGTGCCACACACCTCGTTGGCTTGCTGGATCCTCGTCGTACTATCATTGTGGTCGAGTGCTCAAACTCAATGAGAACAGTCAAGACGGTTGGCTCGTGTCGACATTTTTCAGTCTAGCGGTTTAGACAATATGGTAGCTCATCAGGCACTACTAGAGCTGGGTCTCGGCCGCCGGCTCGTCGTAGCACCTCGGAATCAATAGTCCACAGTTCAGTGTAAATTATATCTAAATAGACTCACCTCAACAACAACTAGAGCTGGGTACGATTCCCAGCAGCGAGAACCATTTTTGCTCAAAGGATCGTTCCGTACGCAGACCTGTCAACATGGCCTCGTTGCATATCCGGCCTACCGGTAGCTCCACCGGTGGCCTCTCCAGAGATCAAAAGGTCACCCAGAGAACCCCGACGCCAAAGATCTTTCCTCAGGAAAGTTCTTTGGTATCGAAACAGCTGGTGCACCTACCATTGCTCACACGACGGTGTACGCACGCAACATCGTGTCCGTCGATGCGCGGCATTGATTGGTTGGCATCGCGACGTTCGCCAACAAAGTGCAGCCAAATCGTCAATCGAAAGACGCGTGATTCTATCTTAAGGCTTTTGTTTACCAGGTACAGAGATGAAAACACGCAACGTGGTCACCTTCTGGCACGTGAGTTCGATCGCATTTCCAAAGTTCAAGGGCAGCAGCCATGTCGCCCGCCCGCGGCCTCCGCCTCTCGTACCTGCGCCACTTTATCAACAGCCATGGCGGCGAGGCCCGCTTTGCCGGCAAGACGACAGCCCAAGTCTGCTTTGAATTTGTCGTGCCGTTGACCAAACCATCCGAGCTCTCGCTCGTCGACCACGTCGCCAACGATCCAACGACTGCCGCCTACGTCGCGCCAGCCAACTGGTATGTCTCGCACGCGTGGATGTACCTCTTCTTGGAGACCGTCGACAGCCTCGAGCGCTTCTTCGCCGACCGCGGTCTCGCCGACGACGCGGTCATTTGGTTTTGCGTCTTCAACAACAACCAGCACCTTGCGAGCTCGTACACGTTCGAGTACTGGTCTTCTACCTTCAAGAACGGTCTCGCAGCCATCGGCAACGTGGTCATGATCATGCACCCGTGGAATGACCCGATCGTGCTTCGGCGAAGCTGGTGCGTCTTTGAGGTCTACGTGGCCGTGACCATGGGCGCGCGCTTTGAGATTGCACTGGCGCGAGATCAAGAAGCCACGTTTCTCGATGACATCGACGACTTTGACGCGTTCAACAAGATGCTGGCGACCATCAAGAGCGAAGACTCGGAGACGACCGTGCCAAGTGATCGCGACGGTATTTTCGATTTGATTCGCGCCGAGACGTCGTTCATCGCGGTTGACCGGCTCATCTTTTCGACCTTGTCGTCCTGGATCCGGACAACGCTCGAAGCATCGATTGTAGCAACGGCGTCGCTTGTCGAGAAGGCCCGGCGGTGGCGGCAGCTCGGTCTCATTGCCGACAACCTAAACGACTACGCTAAGAGCGAGCGCTGCTTCCGGGAGGCGCTGACGTTGAACGACCACGTCCACGGGCCACTCGATGCTGAGACGCTCATGCTGCAGTCGCTGGTCGCGTTTGCGATGGGCCACCAGCGCAAGCTCCGATCCGAGTGGGAGCCATTGCTTCGGTCAACGCTCGCTCTGGCGTCCGAGCACCTTGGCGAGACGCACCCGTATACGCTGGCAACGCGCAGCAACTTGGTCAAGTCGCTCGGGCAGTTTGGCGATTTTGCGGCGGCGTTGCCGTTGGCACTCGAGGACTTTGAGCGACGGCGGTCGCTGCACGGCCTCTCGGATTTGCGCACGGCCCACGTCCTCTCGGAGATCGGCAAGATCTACATCCACCTCGCCAAGCCCCGACTGGCCATGCGCTGGCTCCGCAAGGCGTTCAGCATTCGCGAAGCGCTCTCGGGGCGCGAGCACGCGTCGACAATGGCCACGCTCTCCCTGCTCGTCGCTGCGCTTATATACATGGGGGCCGCCGCCGAGGCCTCTGTGCTGGCAAACGATGTCGCTGCGTCGAGAGCTCGGACGCTCGGGGCCGAGCATCCCAATACACTGGATTCGCGCTTGAACGTGGCAGCCTGTATGCTCATGACGGGCGATGCAGCGACGGCGGTGCCAGCGCTGCTGTCGCTGCAGACGTTGTTTGAAGCACGACACAACCTTGCGCCGTGGCTCCCGATTGGTACGACGCTGCGATTCCATGTGGTCTAGTATATGACAATGTGTCTGTAGTCCACCACAACTTGGGCATTGCGTACGCGATGCTCAACAAGACGGATCGCGCACGCACGTATTACGTCCGCCTCTTTCAAAACGTGCAAACCAAGTACCACGCATGGCTGCTCTTCGATTTTGCCCTTCGCTTTGCACTGACGTCGGCGACCGAGGACCTTGCCCTCGTCCGCGACCATGTCGAGTCGACGACCGATACGGAGCCAGAGACGTGGCTGGAGAGCTGCATGGAGTGCTATCGGCCGATCATCGGCAGCAGCGTCGCCTGTGCGGTGTGTCCGCATGACATTTTCAAGTTTTGCACCCGGTGTCGAGAACAGCGACCGTCCCGACTGAAGCGTTTTTGCCGGCACGACCTTCAAGCGACAAGGTGGCGACGGACGGTGCCACCGCGCCGGTTCTTCTATGAAGAGGCGCTGCTGCGTTCGACGGGGATGGCAGATGACTATGACGACGTCGAGCTGCTCTTTCAGAGCTACGAGACGTACTGCAATAGGCACAAGGTCCTACAGACAGAGCGCCTGCCGCGGACGGCGATGCCGACGTTGAACCGCGGGTGGCACCCCCTGTAGTCTTGCGATGGAAGACCAAGCAATACACGCATTTTATTTTCGGTAGAGCCATAACGGGGGCCAAGGCTATCGACGACGACGAGGTAGATCACGACAACGATGGATCGGTCACAGCATCGGGTGCCAACTGCGGTGCGAGCTCGATGGTCGCACGACACGCTCTGTGGTCGGAACCTTGTGCGTCTTGCAAAATGACTCGTACGCGTCAAAGCGCTGGTTGACGTAGTTCTTGTCGTCATCGTCCGTCGTGCGCAGATCGTGTTCGAGAAAGAACCGACGCGGCGGCACCGTCGCTGTCCATCTTGTCTCTTGAAGGTCATGGCGGCAAAACCGCAGCAGTCGGGACGGCCGCCGGTCCCGACAACGGGAGCAAAACTGAAAGGTATCGCGAGGACAACCCGTGCATGTCACAAGACTACCAACGATGAGTTTATAGCAGACCATGCAGCTCACGGGCCACGTCTCTGGCTCTGTATCGGTCGTCGACAGGACATGCGCCCGGGCAAGCGGCAAGCCGTCGGGGGTAGGGGCGGTGACGGCATAGTTGTAGAGCAGCCAGGCTGTGGTTTTGCACGGCATGTCTTGGAACGCACGGCGGTAGCACGCAAGTGCGTCGTTCCATTTTGCTTGGAGTGCGTACGCGACGCCCAAGTTGAGGCGCACTAATGTACAGATTGTCCCATGAAAACATGAAACATGAAACATGAAAAATGGATATAAATGAAAAAATGAAAAAATGAAAAAATGAACAAATGAACAAATGAACAAATGAACAAATAAAAGAATGAAAAAATGGAGAAAAAAGAGCGACGCGATAACGTCATACCGTTGACGAGGCTCGGGTGGTGGGCCTCGAGCGCGAGCAGCTGCGACGTGGCCGCGCTGGTATCGCCGGCCATGAGCGCACACGCTGCCACGTTCACGCGACTGACAATCGAAGCGGTATTGTCGGCACCGTGCGTGCGTTCGCGAGCGCACGCGACATGCTCGGCGAGCGCGATCGTCGTCGCCCCTTGGCCCATTTGCAGCCGCACGGCGACGAGTTCAACCAGCGTCCCAATCGTATCGACGTGGTCGCTGCCCAGAAGCGTTTTGTATATCGTGTGCGCCTTGCGGAGCCAGCGCGCTGCGAGGCGCAGCTCACCGAGCGAGTTGAAGAGGTTCCCGATCGTTGTCATGTGCTGGGCCGTGAGCCGATGGAAAAGGCCGTGCATCGATTGCCGGACGTCAAAATCGTTAAGTGCCAGCGACAGTGCTTCGGCGTCGGCGCCGTTGTGGCGAAGCGACGACACCCAGTTGCTGCGCGCCGCCAGCGTCGTCAAGTGCGTCTCGCCGAGATGCTGCACGGCAGTCGAGACCGTTGACCGAAGCAGTGGCTCCCACTCGGACCGGGGCTTGCGTTGAAATGCCATCGCAAACGCAACCAGCGACTGCAGCAAGAGCGTGTCGCTGTGGACCGGGCCGTGCACTTGCAAGGACAAGCAGAGCGCCTCTCGGAAACATCGCTCGCTCTCCGTGCGGCGATACAAGTTGTCGAACAAAAGACCGAGTTGCCGCCACCGCAAGGCTTTGCTCTCTGGCGAGAACGATGCAGCGATTGATGTCTCGAGCGTCGTCTTGATCCAGTGCGTCAACGTCGAAAAGATGAGCCGGTCAACCGCGATGAACGACGTCTCGGCGCGAATCAAATCGAAAATGCCGTCGCGATCCGAGGGCACGGTCGTCTCCGAGTTCTCGCTCTTGATGGTCGAGAGCATCGTGTAGAAGGCGTAGTTGTCTGCCATATCTTTGAGAAATGTCGCTTCTTGATCTTGAGCAAGTGCAATCTCAAAGCGTGCGCCCATGGTTACGGCCACGTAGACCTCAAAGACGCACCAGCTTCGCCGCAAGACGATCGGGTCGTTCCACGGATGCATGATCATGACCACGTTGCCGATGGCTGCGAGACCGTTCTTGAAGGTAGAAGACCAGTACTCGAACGGGTACGAGCTCGCGAGGTGCTGGTTGTTGTTGAAGACGCAAAACCAAATGACAGCGTCGTCGGCGAGACCGCGGTTGGCGAAGAAGCGCTCGAGGCTGTCGACGTTCTCCAAGAAGAGGTACATCCAGGCGTGCGAGACGTACCAGTTGGCCGGCGCGACGTAGGCGGCAGTCGTTGGATCGTTGGCGATGTGGTCGACGAGCGAGAGCTCGGATGGTTTGGTCAATGGCATAACAAACTCAAAGCACACTTGGGCTGTCGTCTTGCCAACAAAGCGGGCCTCGCCGCCATGGCTGTTGATAAAGTGGCGCAGGTACGAGAGGCGGAGGCCGCGGGCGGGCGACGAGGACGCTGCGGCGGTCATTCGACTTGTCAGGTTCTGCAGTGGCGTGGAGCAGAAGAGCAATCTGGGCACGAAGGTTTGTGCGGTATCGCCTGTCGAGCTCGGATGCGCCAAGTTGCGTGTTGTCAATCACAACTTTCACTAAAGCCATATACAGGCCGAAATCACACCGTTTTCCAAAGGAGACACGATCCGAGCCAACCAATCACTGCCACGTATTTGATGTGTAACCCATGGTGTGCGTTGTAGTCGGTTGCGGCTTGTTTACGCCGCGTTATGGGAATTTATATCCTTTCGCCCGAGTTGCCCGCCGGCTCGTGCGTCATATGGTCCTAGGTCGCTAAACAATGATGGAAAGGGTCAATTGTACGACCATTCAGACTAATAGCGTCGTCCAAGCGTTGAAATAGACATGTCGAACGTTTCTGGCATCTTGTACCTTGGTGCTCGCTCGAGCCGCCGCCTGGGACCTGGACTGGACGATGCTCGCTGGTACCATATTGTAGATGATTCATTGGACTTTGCTCGCAGCGAGGCCGGGCGTGGGCTAGCGTAAATGTCATGACATCTTTGTCGACAAGAACCGACTCGGCAGCACCGATGCTGACGCCAATAGAAAGATAAGAACGCGACACCACCTACGAGGCTTGAGCTCTGCGAATGAAGCAAGAACCCTCGGTCGGGACAAAAAGTCGTCGACAAGGTGTCATCTGCATCTTGATAGTCGTTATGCGCGGCGCAAGCTCCACCGGATGAGACCTTAGCGCAGACGATGACGTCGTCGTCGCTCCGTTGTCAAGCTCGAGGATCTGGAGCGCGCCGGGCGTGAGGTCTGGTCCTTGAGCTGCTTGAGCATCGATGTGCCGGCGGCAAACATGCGGTACCGGAGCTCATTCGGTCCGAGCTCAAAGGTAAGCGAGAACTTGGTGTCGACCGGTGACTTGTCCGCGCTGGTGCCTCAACGCAAACGTCCTCCGTAGCGTTGCTAATCCCGTTCGCCTCTAAAGCTATAGTGGACTACAGTCGAGTTGATCGAGACCCAGGCCGTAAGCTTGAGTAGAAAAGCCACAATACATTCTTTAGGCAGTTTTTATACAATCACATCATACTAGTATGTCGGACACGATGGGCGGTTAGGGCTTGCCGTAGTACGTCGTGTTGAGGTACACCATCTTCTGAAACTCGGCCGGGCAGTATGGGAAGAGGATCGTCGGGTCCGCGATCGTCGGCGCAAAGAGCTTCTTGCCCGTGCTGATCGAGACATAGATCGCGAGTGCCGACGTAAAGATGATGACAAAGATGCTCCAGCTCTTCTCGAGGAGGCCCATGTCTTTGTAGAAGACCTTGAGGTGGAACCAAACCGGGAGGATCATGCAGCCAAGCGCCGCCGACGACGCGCCGACAAAGTCGAGCAAATCCAAAAAGTGGTTTTGCCACACGATCGCAATGATCGTGCTGATCGTGATCTGGACGAGACGCATCGTGCACGCCTTCAGGTAGTCGGTCGATGACGCGTACACGGCGACGGGCGCGTCGACTTTGGAAACAACCGCGGACGTCGTCGTCGTCTCTTCCTTGGGCGTCTCGCTTTCGATATACGCCGGCGCCTCGCCCGTCTCGAGCGTAAAGTTCTGCTTGTGGAAGCCAAAGAGCACGCGCTCAAAGATGTAAAACGTCGGGAAGAGATCGATCGCAAAGACAACGCTGATGTGCAAATGCATCATCAGGAACGCAATCACGATCGCGCCGCGGGGGGCGACAAACCCGAGCTTCGTGCCCGCAATCGAGAAGAGGAGGTTGCCCGGAATCTGGCACCCGACGTTGTGATCGCCGATGAGCGACACCATGAAGAAGAGCACCGTGCAGGCGCCAAGCGTGAGCAGGATGACGCGCGGCATGCGTTCGGGCTGCGTGTGTTCGCGCTGGAGGGCCGGGACAAGGACGCCAGCCGCATACCCGAGCGAGAGGTTGCCAAAGACCGACGTAACGCCGTCAAACGAGAGTGCTGGCTTGGGCGCCGAGAGGCCTTCAGGGATGTCCGACATGTTGTCGAGGAGGACGTAGAGGGCGACGGCGTCGGCGATGATCGTGCCAAGCGCGCCAGCCGTCGCCGCACCGGCGCTTTCCTTGAGCGACGGCATCATGCAGATCGGAACGAGGCTGAGCGCCATGAGGATGATCCAAACCGTGGTTGTAAACGTATCGGGAAAAAGCACTTGGAGGAGCGAGCCGCCGAGGACGAGGAACGCAATTGGGTTCAAGCAGCACACGAGGAGCTGCGAGAGCGTCGTGATGAAGCGGCCGAAGCGGCCGTCGACCCACTCGCCAATGTCACCGTACGTCTTGACGTACTTGGGCGCGGCCAGCATGACCTTGGAGAGAGCAACGGTGGCGTAGAGGTTGATGGCTGCCATGAGCACGAGTGCACCGGTGGCCCAGTAGTAGCCGGCGCGCGCATAGTTGGCCGGCATCCCGAGGGTCCCGACACCGTACACGACGCAGAACAAGTTGAACGAGATCTTGATATCTTCGAGGGTCAAGAACGCCATGGCAGGTGGTGCGCAGACAGGCGAAAAACGAAAAGTGAGACTGGAAGCCGTGGGTCGCGTGACGCGGTTGTAGTGACCATCCGCACACCGTTGCACTTGGTTTCATGGTCGACGGCAACATGAAGCACGATCCTTGCCTCGATGACCGTGCACCCTTTCAGTAGAGTTGACAACGACATTTGTCACTACCGCGCCTGTCAGGTGACACGGAGAAATACGCGCGTCTCATTGGCCTGCCTCCCTTCCACGAGCTCGAACCTAGTTGACTTATCCCCAAAATGAGATAGTTTAGACGTTACGTGTCCACAGACAGCCACATGTTTTCTGATTGCGCGGGTACTTATCCATGATGAGCCACAAACGAGCCACGTTTATGGACAGGATGTCGATTCTGCGGCCTATGCCGGCAAAGTTGCCGTTCACCTTTCAAACACATGTTGGGTTCGAATAGGGTGCCACGGGAGGCCACTGCGCACATACCTGGTACTGCCCTGTGAATGGACTGTGAATCGCTCAAAAAGACCTGACCAAACTCGCCGAGACGGCTCGTTTGGGTAAATGATGCGTGGATGGCATTCTTGTCGTGGGTAGCGTTGCGTCAACTTCAAGATCGAGTTGCCTTTCAGTACCCAGGACCTAGGTGCAGTCCAAGGACACCGCGACCCAAGGGTTGTCGATCGATTACAAACCTGCATCGATCAGCGTGCTGCTTGTCCGTCGTGACTTCGCGAAAGTTCTGTGGGCAAAATCGCTTGACGTCCAGATCGATGGTCTCGCTGCATACACGTCCATCTGATCAGAAGTGAGAGGACATAATCAGAATGGACCATTTACGTTTCTCGATGATTTATTGCCGCCATAAAAGCAGGGAACGCGTGCGAGACAACACACGATCATCATCGCGCCACCATAAAAAGTCAACAAGTGCTTGTACCGGTACTCTAACGTTTGAGCGCGGTGGCCGATAGGATTTTGGATTATATTGAAATCAAATTTATGCATGCGTATATTGTCATACTAGTAGCGTTAGTGTGTGACCCAGCAAGCTCGGCTGTCGTTTGTTTATTGCATGCCGCTTCCAGAGTCGCACCTAATCAGGCCGTTGATGGTCCCTTATTAAGTGCGGTGTTCGTACTTATTGGGGTTGATGCAGCCCTATGTCTCGCACGCGCCGATGCTCCTCTTCTTGGAGATCGTCGAGAGCCTCGAGAAAAAATGGCTTAGACGATGAAGCACAACCGTCGCCGTCGTCGAGGTTGAATGCAGCATCGAGAGTTTTATCAAGCTCCTTGATGCATTTCCGAGCGTGGGTAAGGTTGACCTCGAGCGCAGCGCGAGCGTCACGTTTGTTCCCAAGCTCATGGCGGAGATCACGAAATTACATCTTCTTTGGCCTTGACTGCACGCGCCGATTCCGCGCCCCTGTCGCTACATTCACCAACGCACACGCCAGTGCAAGCTGGCCGGCAGCAGATTCGGTGACCGCAACCAGGAAACAAACTGTGGCCTTGGCTCGGTCGCTGTCCAGCTCGCGTCTGCACTGATAGAGGGCCTCTTGCAGCTCGCGCAGCTCTACACAGACAGCGGCATCCTGCTCTTCACGTGCAGCGACACCACCGTAGCCATACCATGGAAATGACGAGTGCTGTACTCGGGGTTGGCCCCGAGTCTGGTCCCCGCGCCAACACGTGAGACCGGATCGCGTACGACGGCTTCTTCGGCAAGCGCGGCTTCTTTGACTTCTCTTCCGCTTTCATCTTCTTCAAGAAGTTGAGGCATACGACGATGGTGCAGGCTTGCACAGAGACAGAGTGGGTTTCCAACCGCATGCCTCGACGACGCCACCTCTCTACTTCCGTCTTCTTCCGAATGACCAGACAGAACCATTCGACGGAGGACATGCCTGGTGGTACGCTATTGGAGACGCTGGCGGGCTTCGCATGCGCCGATTTGAACAGCATTTAAACACCACCGTTTAAATATTTCGTGGGCCAGTGTTAAATCTGCGCGACCATGAATGCAGCCGACAGAAGCGCTCGTCGTGCCCAAGACATTCGCCCATCAAGACCGATTCACTCAACGGCAACAACCATGTCGGTGTCCGCCATGCTAGCGGTGGGCGAGGCGGGTTAGATTGTTGAGTGGCACTGCAAATTTGGGAATCGCGCGAGCTCGCTTCCACCCCAATCTTGGACCTTGAGGATTTTGGGCTTTAGATCGCTCGGCCTGGCGCGGAAAACCTCATCCACGTTTTGGAAACGATCCTTCAGACAACCCGCTACACACTGGACAAAGGAGGAGTTTTTATCGTCGATTGACATTCAACGCATCATTGCATTCCCGTCATCATGTATGTTCATACAATAACCAGTGGGGTCGACTGAATCGTTTTCGATTTAGTGAATTTCCAACGCATGACAACGCAGCACCACGCGATCGTGGTCAGGCGTCATTTTGGTCGGGCGCTAGGTTGGCGATCTTGGTCCAGTCGTGCCCCGGTGTACATCAGTACCTAGCCCTACGATTTATATATAGTACGCGTCGAGTGCAGACGAAACACGGTGATGTCCTTTCAATAATACCAGCTAACAACCTCCCAAGAGCGTACTAGTACGGGCCGGCCAAGCCGTCTTCCCGCCCTCGTCGCCCACATGCCGCAGCGTGGGTGTGACGATGTGCAGCTCGTCGCCAGATGGCACTTCTTCGACCAATCAAGCGGCGGCATGGCGACGGCCTGTGCAATGACTACGGTCGTGGGCGGCGCGCCAAGCGCCGTTGGCCGCAGAGACTCGACCGCTCTGCATCGACGCGCGACGCCACTTATACGTGCGGATGCAGTCGCTTGGCGAGCGCAAGTCGCATCCATTGGTGTGCTACAGTCCCTCGTCGTGTACAGTGTCAGAGCACGTCCCCACGCACTGTAAAATCTGTTTTGGACGGGCGCGCGCAAGCCGTAACAACCCAAGCAATTGGCGTCACTTGTGCAAACCACTTGACGTCGACACCATGCCACGACCACCAATGCTGCTCCATGCCTGCTTCTTCAACGGGTGCACCAACCCGCGCCTTCCCATGAGCGTCAAGTGCGACTTCCACAAGCACCGACTCCAGTGCCTCCACGACGGCTGCCACAACCAAGTGTACGCGCGCCATCGCTGCGTGCGCCATGGCGGCAAGCTGCGCTGCGCCCACCCGACCTGCGACCGCAACGTCCGCCTCGGGGCCTTTTTGCTCAACGCACGGCCAGTCGACTGCGAAGCGCCACTGCTCCGAGCCCGGCTG